GTGGCATATGTCCGTGTGACACGTTTAGACTAGACGGCTAGCGTGGCGGCAGTTCACAACGTTACCTGGCGATGAACGACTACTACGTAGCAGCTCGTGATGCTTTCAGCTTACCTTCCGCACCAAACCGTTGCATAAAGCGGTACGGATTTCCTTGCGCAACTTGTTTGTACCCTCATCTATCTCTTCTTGCGACATTATGTCAAAGACAAGTCATCATCCCCGGACATGTAGTCATCTTCGTCGTCGTCATCATCGAATACCCCGTTATGCAGCTGGAATGTTCGAGGCTCTGTTGAGCTTGGCGGCTTAGGAGTGGTCCCGTTTTGTTTCCTGAGGTTGGGAGGGGGAACTGGCCCGTGGACTGGATTAGCTTGGCCATCGATGTTCTGAGGTCCGGGTCCCCTGGCGGACACTTCTCAGTGGCCTAAAGCAGGAGGGAAGGTGTGAGTACGGATTCAACCCAAACAGCAGACAAAGGGGAAAGAATCTGACAGTTACTGGGCATTGCGGGTGGGGTTAGGGTCAAGAGCGGGAAGGAACAGCCTGGCTGGACCGATGGGAATCAGTGCAGATCGGAGTGTTTGGGTTTTGGGGAGGTGCAGTCGCAACTTTCAGATTGGACTTGATCGGAGAAGGTGGAAAAAAATTGCCCAAAGGGAAAAGAGTGGAAGGAAGATCCGGGAGGTTTGGATTAATAAATACAACTCTCACATCGCAAAATCCCACGGAAGTGCGATGCATTTATTTCCACGCATCTTGTGTGGTATCGTGGTCACACGGAAAGCCAAGTTTAACATGGGTTTAACATGCTTCCACCACCTGTGATAAAGCTTGAGCCAGACAGCCAGATCATGCAGTCCACGAACCTCAGCACCGGACTGGTAGCCACGCCCCTTCAGATACGACACCGGCATGATGCACAGGTTATGGATGGAGCGGTCTGTCACAGAATCATCCCCTCCGCCTCCTTCCTTCCCAGTACATGCGCGTCAACTGCAGAATGAGTACAACGACAGCACCTGCCCTCAATCTTTGTCCGCTACCCCATATGTTCCTGACCTCCGTTCCTGTGCTTCGATATTTGGCACTGCGTCTCTTTTACCTGCAATCCCTTCCATGTTCTGTCTGATTCCCTTCGTTTCCTTTTGACAAGCTGTGACAACGCCGCGGATACGCCAAGCAAAGGCAGCGGATGAACGTGAACAACAATGGTGGAAGGTGCGAGAGAGCAGTTCCCGTCCTCCATACTCTATGTAAAAAGATACTATACAAACAGCCCGGCTAACCTTTTCCATGGCCCAGATCTCGTCAGCCAACATACCGAGTTCGCACGCCTCGACCAAGTCCACCAATACCGAGCCCTTCACACTCCCGACTCAACTCAACTGCTCCGAGCCCACCAAAGCTGACATACGGCACGAAAGAAGTCCCGTTGCCATTGGACCCTCCGCAATTAGCGCCCATTCTAGGCTTGGAAGATGAAGTTGGATATCTTCGTCTCAGCCTTCTGCGAGTTAATAATTGACCCAGTCACGGTGGAGGTCAGTCCACAGGCCACCGCTCCAACCATAACGTAAGGGTTCTTCCCGACCTGGACCGTTGCCAACCCAGACAAAAAGTCATGGCCTTTGCTCAAGCATGTATTGCCGATCGTCAGAAAGTTATCAGCCTTACTATACCCTGCCAGGTGATCCCAAGTCACACATCCTGTGTAGATGACGCATTGCAGAGCGGAGAAGAACATTGTCACCATGCCCTTGAAGATCCGGAGGCTGCAATGTTTGATGCCAGCGAAGATGGAGACCACCCAACCAGTCAGTTGGAGGCCCCAGCTGGGCGAAGGATCGGAGGGATCTGGTTTCGGGAAGGACAGCACAATTCCGACCAGGAATCTTGTTGCGGCGCCCTTGTCCCATTCTTTCAGACCACCAAAGTTTGGGTAGGCACTGCCCATCGGCTTCAACCACTCCCGTACCTCGCTGTACATGGAGTAACAGTTGTATCCAAAGTAGATGATACCAACAATATAAGAATGCGCCTTCAACCACCTGGCAATCTTCTGGAACAGACTATGCTTTGTAATTTTATTGACAAAGGTCTCTTGGCCCTTGCCGCCGCCAGGGCTGTAGTCTTTAGGTTTTTCGCTCACTTCCGAACCGACTACCGCATTTGAGGCAACACCGCTATCAGTCTTCTCGGAAGAGGTGGACGGCACAACCGCAAATACCTGGGCAGTGGCCCCGAGCTCATGGCCAACGAGCTCGGCATCCAGCTCGGTTTTGGCAGCCTGGATCTCCTTGTAGCTTGGATGCTTTCCCGGGCTCACACCGTGGTATATCTTGAAAGCAATTGTGCCAGGGATGGCAAACAGCATGGTGATGGCGTCAAGGAACGACAGAGGCCGGTCGGATATCTTTGACCACAACCAGGAGATGACAGGGATATCGATGGTCGCCGTGGCAAGACTCTTCACCATGAGCATGAGCTTGGCTCCCACCTGGACGAAAAGCGTAATCAGATCTCTCGCAATCGCAATAAGCCTCGTGAGGAGCTTACTACCGAGCTGGGAGAAGATCTCAGAAACAGTTGCTTTTCGAGACGGGTCGAGGAGTGACACCAAAGCGGCCCCGATGTCGCCCGCACCCTCAGCAAACTCGGTGACGAGATCTTTGAGAGCGGCCAAGATCTTCGTCAGGTCGCCATCCTCAATCTTCTTTTCCGCAGACTCCATGGCTTGACGGACCTCGGGGTTGTGCTGGGCATGATGGTTCGCATAGTTGCCCCCTGGTGAGTTGAAAGCTTTCTCCATTTTGCTCGGTTCCTTCCCCTGCTGGTCATTGCCGTCTTGATCTACGTTGCCGTCCAACTCGGATGGAACCTGGGTTGTGCTGCAGTTTTTGCTGATGCTGGCCTCAAGCTCATCGAGGTACGACTCGGCCTTGTCACCAAAGAGAAGTACTGTCTTGACAGCAGTATCGACGAACCCTTCGAAATAGTCGCGGAAGATGTTGTGGGTCTCCTTGATATCATCCCAGGCGAAGAGAAATTTCAACCCGTTCCATATCTTCTTCAGACCCTCACCCAGCCACGCGAGGGCCTTCCTGAGACCTTTCATTACATGTTCATATGTTTGGACCAGGAACTTCCAGACCTTCTTTCCCACCTTCACAACAAGATGCCATCCGTCGACAAAGATGTCTGCCACGGACTCGAGCGACCTGGTAAGCCAGTCGAAGGCTGCCCAGTTGCCTGTAGTTGGCGTCTCATTGCTGTTACCAGAGGCCACTCCAACTGTTGGTTCTTCCGCCGGCTGTTCCGAGGAAGCAATCTCGCTCTTTTCAGCGCCTGTAAACTGCGCTTCCAGTTTCATGCTGGCACCCTTTGACGTCAAGGACTTGATGGCCGCAGCGGCTCCTTTGAGGTTGACGTTCTTGGATCCGCCGCTCAAAAGCTTTTCGCCATTCGGAAGGTGCGCGTTTTGCAAGTCATCGCCGGATTCGATCTTGCTGAAGAAGTCCAGAACCTTTCGAGAGGGGTCGATGTACGTCGCCTCACATCCTGGAACACCCGAAACACGCAAGCTCGGCACATTGAGGTCATCAATCTCTTGAATCACCGTGAGGGTTCCCAGCACATCGGCTTTGACTTTGGTCGGAAGTCGACTGAGCTCAATTGTCCGGCCATTCACGGTTGCGAGGCATGTACTAGATGCGCTCAGGTCAACTTCCAGACCACCAGCCGGAGGCCGCCCCCCAGTCGCAGGTTTGATCTTGATATGCGTCGTGTAAGTGAACACTTCTCGATGTGTCTTGATTGCCGGGACGCAGAAGTCACCAGTTTTCCAAAGGCTGGAATCGCCTGACTGGTACAAAACCCGCATCTTCGGATGGTTTTCGTCACCGAGGATGAACATTTGCTGGGACAAAGTGGTTTCGTTGACCAAAGCGGCAAATCGTACGCCTCCATCAAGGACCTGGTTGGCATCGCTGCGTCTTTCGAAGGAGTCAACTGCGCTCTCTGATGCCGCGATCCTGAATTGTGTATACGCTATCACGCCATCATCGTTGCGAGTGAAGACGGAGATCAAGGAGCCGGACTGTGCAGCATGGATCTGTTTCAGTCCTTGAAGGCAGTAAGCTGTGGCTACCAGACTGTTGTCGGCCAGCTTTGTTGAACCTTTCGCACAGTCCCGGGCTGGAATACGGTGGATTCCATTCTTGGCGGAAACGAGGAGGTCGGTTCGGCCCGTCGATGTCCTAACAGTTGCCAGGTCGGATGCACCTGGGGGTACTGGCAGCTGATAGTTGATGTGGGAGTAGTAGCCTCCCTGACCGCCCAGTCCGGTGAAGCTGAGCCGAAGCACCTCACTGATCCTGAACAAGACGAAGACACCAAAGGTTCCGCCACCCCCTGGCAACGTACCAGGGCATAGGCTGATGATCTCCCTTGGGTTGCAAGGCATCTGAAGATCAGTCTTGACAGACCAAGAAGAGGTCTTGTAGTCTATATCAAGGCGGCAAATATCATTCTCCGGCGAGTCGACCCTTCTGTACCTCGCTACTGCAAGTGGATGGTCATTATCCAAGCCTCGACCCTGTCAGGTTACCGTTAGTACCAGACGGTGCAGACAAGGGCAAGCACATGGGGCACTTACAAGAAGGAGACCATATATCTGGCCCTGAATGGTGTCATCCTGGGCCACTACAGCATTGTCCTGGAGTGTGTCAAGGTCTGGATCCAAAGCTTCGGGCCTCAATCGGCGCAAGACAATTAGCTGTGACCGGCCCTTTGGTTCTCCGTGAGCAAACGCGAGGTTCAGAGTCAGGTCATTGTCCTGGTACACCCCGAGTGCGGTTGCCTCATGTTCCGCCGGGATGTTTAGCTTTTCGCTGAGGTTGATGAGCTTGTTCCGCCCCAGTTCATCTTGTTTGATCAGGTACAAGATGCCCTTGGTGCCGATGGAAAACACCATGGGGTTCTGCTTTTCATCCTTGACGACGTGGAAGTCCTGCGTATCCAGAAGTGGTGTGGAGGTTACCACTTGCTCAATGAGCTCCGAATCATGATAGATGGACATGGTTGACGGGGTGTTGGGGCATCAGGGCCGAAAGAGGAGAAGGAAAGAAGGAGGCTGAAGGGATACGAAGGGGAAGAGGTTTTGGAATTGAGGTATATCAGAACATCCACCGAGTCTTCGCCAAACAACTTTCACGGCCGGAAGCTAATTATATGGACCAACTCTGGTCTTCGATTTCGCAATGTAGTATCTTCGTCCCGAGATCCATACTGATTAATGAAATCCCTCGTCTCGTGGCTAAAAGGGCAACACCAACGACCATCCACGGAGAGCAAGCAATACTGACGTATTGAAGTTGAAGACTGCAGTGTTGAATGCGGAGCTTCATCCAGCTGAATGTCCAGCTTTGCCACCGTCGCCCCTCCAAAGCTGTGTTGGCATAACACGAGCCAAACAACTTGACCACTTCCTAAGACATTGGACTGGACTGCATCCGTGTCTAGACAGATCATGGATCATTTCAGACTGCCGAACAGCTCGTCCCTTCAACAAAACCGGTTCATCCGAATCACGAGACCGTGCATACGTCGAGATACGATAATCCGCAGAGGTTGTTACAGGAGGATCAGCGGCGGAGTCCATTCCAGCACTTACACTACAAGTCATAGGCTCCACATGAGGGCCGGGACGACCAAGCCAAGCCGGGCATACACTGCAGCTGGACATATCCACCGCGCTGCAACCCAATATTGAACCGAAGCTTCGTGTTTTGAGTGCGTCGATAGAAAAAATCGGCCACAGCGCAGGTCGGCATGGGCTGCAAGAGATCCAGCGACCGGATTAGGGGGACTTGGTCGGACGTGGCATACGACGTCATCTGTTTGGGAGCAATGATCTACGATCTGACGTCCTCCTCGATCTTGGTCTGCATGTCGATCAAGCGGGTCCCAATTGGACTATTGCCATCTTGGCTGCATTTGATGATCTGGATCTAACCATCCTCGACATTTCAGCTCAGATGGGAGCGTGCATCGACGCCTGAGTTTCAGTGATCTTCCTACCATTGTTGACGATTCGCTCAACTACATCGAAGGTGGAGGGAGGTGCGTGCCGGCCTTGAGCCCAATCATCTGGTAATGTTGAGGGGAGTTGGCATGCACCGGCGATGTCTGGCTTAAGGGATTACCTCAGAGATATCAGCTCCAGCCCAGCACAAATATTAACCGCTAATCCGCAATTCCCAGATACCCCTTCGAAGACACAGCCTTCCGGCAGACTCGACCTCCGAGCGATATCCTTTACAATTGATTGCTCGTTTACTTGGCCCTATTCACCCAGAAAACGACGTCGAACCCTTGAGCACGATGGCGACAACTGAGGTCGACTCACGCCTAAAAGATTTCGATCTTCAAGGTTTCCATCAAATCATCGCTATCTCCCAAGATGTAGGTTCATCCCCCAGAAGTGCAAACTTGTCAACCATGCGGAAGTCCTAACCAGGATACCAGAAAATCAATGCCAATCTCAGAGTTCGATTTGATCCCGAGCTACAACCCGAGCTTCTCTCTTTCAAACATGAGATTCCCATGTTTGGACTCTCTGAGGCAACGCTCGACCCCCCGAACGTTGAGGTCTGCACTGAGAGTAACATAGAGACCAAGCGCTCCAGGTTCTTCCTGAACTTCAAGACTGGCAGCTACAAGTACAAGACGAGCGTTGAGACAGGGGACGTCGAAACGCTTACCATTGACGGCTGGAAAGTTCCATTCTTCGTCGCTTATGACGAACAGACACTGGCCAAACCCCCCGACAGTAGCCATCCAGACTTGAAGTCAAAATGGGCGAAGTTGGAACCCGGCAAGTACAGCCTGAGTCGCATCATCATGTTTCTCGGCTCGGCACCTCTCTCTTCTATTGACTGGGACCGTGCCTCCTGCCCTGGCCTTAGCAAGGACAATGATCCCTATGGCATGAAGTTGGTGTGCTTTAAGATGTTCTTGGGAGCATATTTGTCCACACTACAGAAGGACCCAGATGCTCTCACCCTTGGCTACACGATCAAAGAGGCGGCCCCTGACCCTACGGACAAGGCTCCGACGTTCCCTCCAACCGCTGTCAAAATTCAGAATTACCGTTATCAACCTTGTTCCGACACGCAACAAGCCATCAACGGGATAACCGTCCCTCCGAACTCCCGTGACGCCTTCGTGTTCATGGAGATGACCGGGGGCGCTGACATGCCCCACGATGAACTGCAAAGGAAGGGCAATCTCATCATCGGCAACATGTCGGGTGCACTCGTTTTCAGCAAAGAACTTTTTTTCAACAAGTATCTAGTGGAAAATGCTCTCAGCACCGTCAATGTCTCCTTTCTCGACATGGCGAATGATCTCATGAAGTGGGTCGACGGAGGAAACTGGGATTCGGACTGGCTACTCACCAACGGGTCAAGAGAGGAGGCACTTCCGGATGTTAAGTGGACAATCGACGAATCAAAGGCCAAGCTGAGCTGGAAGGGCCAGAAGTCGTACAACGGGTTGAGCATGCACCGTTCCACGGACAGTTCACTCGAGACAGAACTGACTACTCAACCACGGGCAAACAAGATTATCATCACATCAAAGATGAAGCTTGGCTCCAGTATGTCAGTACACTCCATGGGAGGACACGGGGGCGCTGGCGGGTACTATAAAGGAACAGACGGCGTAGTCAATCTAACGATTGAGTTCGTTATTCTTGCGGACGAAGATGGCACGCTTCATGTGCAGCCGGAAGAGAAGATTGACCTCGTTAGTGCGGACGACAGCAGGGACGCTAGCCTCATCAACCTCATCTTTGGTAAGGAAAATCATCAAGTCGGGGACTTCATCAAGGGCAAGTTGCATGATGTTGTCCGGACGAAGCACATCGGCGACGCGATTGCTGCGGATCTCAACGAGAAGAAGCAACTCGTGTTTCCGGGATCGGGGACGTTCAGTTACAAGGATCCTAAGTTTTCGGATGCCGGTGATTTGCTGATTACGTTGGATTTGGTTGGGAAGGATATTGAGAAGGACAAGACGTTGGTTCGTTAGGGCGCCAGGACGGAAGGGCGTCAACAGCGAGGGAATCGATCATCAATGTTACTCTTAAGCGCGTCGCCGCTGCTGATACAAACGGGACTCTCCACAAGCTAGGTCGCTTGACGGATGCAGAGGCCGCATTTGCTTGTGTCTGAATAAAAGAGACTCGAGTAGCTCCATGGGCTGCATTGCCTGCCGGGAATGGAGATTGTGAATGAAGGTGCAGAGGGGACCATGACCAAGGGATGGAAAATGCCGAAATGGAGTTGGTGACTGATACCAATGGACCTGGCTGTGGCAGGTGGGAAGGTGCATAAGACAAGGTGGTCTGGACAGGAAGGTGCCTAGGTACAGGTCGCAAAACACTTCTCTCTTCTTCTAATGAACAACAGTCTTTCTCTCACACAGCCTTCAGCAAGCCTCTGGTTTTCCTCGCAGCATACGCAGTACAAACGCCGTTGTAACCTATCTTACGGCTCACGAAGACTTAGCATTTTGACTCGGTAGGTCTTGAATCCGTCTTCTGTGGCCTCTGTTATCGGTAGATATCTGGTGGGCACCACAAGCAACTAATGTGGCAGGCTACTCTGCACAGTGCTCAAACTAGGCAGCAGTTGGATGGAATTTTCCACCAACATCGCTGGATCTACCACACTCGCGCTTCCTCCAACCATTCGACGCTAACAACCCGCTGATAATAAACGGAATGCTTGAGATGACCGTTTGTATCTATGCAACCTCAAAGCCACCTTTGGAAGCGGCTGAACGGTTGGATGAGCAGCGGAAGTTGGTTTTCCCGGGGTCGGTGACACTTAGGTACCAGGACCCGGTCTTTTCGAATGCGGGCAATCTTCTCGTTACGTTCGATCTGGTTGGAACGGCTATCGCAATAGATAAGACGTGGGCCTCTCAGTGATTCGGCGATGGTGGCGGTGATAGCGTTGACGAAATGTGGCCAAAGCTAATAGTGAACCAGCAGGGTGGCTCAACCAACAATACCCGACTCTCATATAACAATGTGCACTCAGTTTCCGTCTCCGGTAACTCCATTGAGCCTTTGTGGAATCCTTTGCGCAGGGTCAACTCCGTACTTCTAGCGCGACAGCTTCCGTATGCCTTGCCGTCATGCCCTCACACCGCGATAAGAACAAGGCGGATTGGTTGCCTCCCCACACCCCCTATGCTGCCATGTCCCTCCTGGAGCCTGCTTAGCGCTTTCCCATCGAACCAAGTTCTACCTAACCCTCTCACAGTTTAGTATATCTAAGAGTCATCTCCGAACTAGAGCGCTATTGTAGCCGACAGACATCGCGAACTGCTCAACGCTTGACTTGACAGCTGGCATGCAAGTGACTCGCAGCGGTTCGAGCGGATAATCCAACCGCGCCAGCGATCTCAACTAGAGTAGGTCTAGTTTCTGCGGGGAGATGAACCCAGTTGAGTGAGAGGAAGCGGTAGTTACTAACATTCAGATAATTCGAAGCCCATCAATGCATCAATACCAAAGCGTCAGTGCCCAATGCCAAGAGTGGCTATTGACCTATGGTGGCGAATAGAGTAGGTTCCCATCCACGCTTAGTTCAGTGAAGTGGTTACAGACTAGCGTTGTAGGATAAGGCAGGTTATGCAGCATTGCCGCGTCATAGCCGCTTTTCTACCACACATGCATGCCATATTTGACCACTAATAACATGTTCGGGTGTGACACGGGGCTGAAGACCGATTTGACCATCAATTTTTTGCTTTCCTGGGATGAAGAGCCTCAACTTTCCCGCAAATAAATCCTGGTCTGTACACTGGGCCTGTTGTGCCAAATAGGTGGATGCAGTCCTTTGCCGCATTGCACACGATCTTCTAACCCTAGGCCGGAAACTATTCCCCCCCGGGTTACCAACAATTCGCCATGGAGGTTGCCGGTCTAGCATTAGGTGTGCTGGGGATTGCAGGACTCTTCAAATCCTGCATTGACAACTTCGATATTGTTGTCAAGGCGCGAAACTGTAGCATCGAGCTCGACCGTTTATGTGCGCAGGTATGACTCCAGCCATAACCCGGGTCTCCAAGGATCCATCATCTTTGTAGCCATCTAACAAAGCTCCTTCCGCAGCTTTCGTTACATCGTATCCGCCTGGTATTCTGGGGGCAGACCCTGGGATTGACCTCGGACTCAGGCATTGTGGCCAATGAACTGTTGAACTGGGAAGACATCAGGCCGGCTATTGAGCGGGTACTTCTTCACCTTCACTACTTGCTACAACAGGCAGACCTCGTCACGGAAAGATTCGAATCACACAGTGACAAAGTCGGAACTCGAAACTTGTCTGACGACCAGCTGGACCAGTCACCCGGGCTCAATATCTTCAGAGAACCGTTCGAATCGTTCAAAGCTCGCCTTCGAAGAAGCCAGAACGATAAGTCAATATGGATGGTAACCAGATGGGCCATCCATGACCTCAAAAAGTTCAAAGCTGTTGTGAACAATGTCGGCGAGTTAGTGAGTGGATTGGAAGGAATAACAAGCACTCTCGGACTAGGAGTGCTCCAACGCCAGCAGATCCTTCTTGCAAAAGAGATTGACTCGATCTCGGATACACAAAGCCTTCGCCTTTTACAACAGTTGACTTCCTCAGATGACGCATCACTGTCCCTAAGGCTGGTGTCAGAGACAGCGAGCATCAAAATGAGCCTACTGGATGAACCTGTTGCCAACGGAACTATCAGATCAACCAGAACTTCCTACTACACGGCATTCTCACAGCTGGGGTCAGCCCTGTTTGGATACTCGGCGATCTCTGAAGAAGATTTGGACGGAGAGAGTTATATTTCTGAGTTCAACCCGCAGATCCCAAGCTGGGGAAAGGCCACCGAGAGTGCAAAATCGCCCCTCTTTTACCCATTCTCCATGCCATCAGCAAGCTGGCCATTCAGGGTAAAGGGAGATGCAACTGCAGCCAATTCGACTAACGAACCACCGGTTTTGCCGCAAAATCAGCGGCTGATGGCCGAGATCATCGAGCGTTCTACTAGCGAACTCTATAAACCAACCTTCGAATCGGGGGATTCGGGCTATGGTACAGCTTTATGTCCAATAAAGGCTCAGAATGAAGAGAATCACACGCAGCAATCACTTCGTCTTCTGGCGCATGCCGACAGAGGAGTGTCCGCAGCAAGAAGAGCTTTCCTTGAGCTACGAAGCTTGAGAACCGCTGCAGTTCCTTTCATCACCGCTTCTACGTGGGCAGACAGGCTTGACAAACTCGTGGCTAGCATTGAGGGACCACCCGACACACCCTACCAAGGTGGAGTCTTCTGGATTTTGGTCAAGCTTCCACCGGAGCCCTGGGAGTCGCCGACCCTTCGCTTCGTTACCAAGATATACCATCCCAATATAGATTGCAATGGGAACATCTGTGCCGATTATGAAAGCTGGTGGAAGGACCCTGACCTGCAACCATATCTGTTTGGGCATTCGGTTCATCATCAAAACCACAAAGGATGGCTCTCTGGCAACAGCTGGAACAGATACTCGCTTGGAGCTCTCTTAACCGCGATTTGCAGCCTCTTGGCTAGCCCAAACGTCCATGATCCACTTGTTCCGGACATTGCTGCAACATACATTCTGGACTACCCACAATATTGCAAAAACGCATCATTGTATACTCAACGCTACGCACTCCCAAAGCGCCCTTCGGATGACGACTTTGAAGCAATCGACGAGGCAGCCTGCGTACCTGTGGTCATACCGGACTCTGGTCCCACGCAGAGACAAGAAGCTGGCTTGGTGGCATCTTCGGCGGTCAATATTCGGATGGGTAGGCCACAAAGCGAAGCTGAACTATCTGGTTGTGATTCATCAGATAACATCTTCTTGGGGCGGTCCAGAAGCTCGATAGCCGGATCTGTGCGTACAACAAGATCCGGAAACAACATCGACTCACTGGTATCGAAATACGATGATAAGTGGCTATGGGGGGACGACGATTCGAATACGTTGAATGATGGTACAAGCAACACAGTGGCTCCGAGGATAATACTATCGGAGACACCTGTCCTTAGAAATGGCGTCATGACCCAACTGCCATTGGCCCTCTACAGCAGTACTGACACGGGCAAGAATTTTGAAGCGAAGAGGACGACACACTGGGTTCGGAGAATATTGATGAAGAGGATTCCAGCGGCAAGGTGGAGGACAAAATCGCGGTTATTTTTGATGTAACCGAAGTGAAGCAGGATGCGCAAGAGGTCAACACGCGTCCTAGAGGAATAGCTTCGCACCGGTGGCTAGGTAAATTCCGCAGATTGAAACCAAGTGGAATGTTTCGTCGCCGATTCAGAGGATCTTCTTTCGCCAAGTACAAGCAGTAGCAGAAGGGTAACAAGCCTTGGACGTTGAATACCAGACTTGAGGCGGACAATCATCTTCCTCCAATAATCTGAATCCTAGGTATGCTTCGATGCTGCCATGAGCTGGTATACCCGCTCCAATCACATTGCATAATCCGCAGATTGAAAATGCAACCATGTTGCGGGGAGTGCAATGTAAACAAGATCTACTATAGCCGATACTCGACAGGGGTCAGGTGCACCGAGATTCCTCGTACATAAAGTTCAACCTCCACGACAATGAAGTCCCGTTTTGACATCGAGATCATATCCCACTCATAAGCCTATCTGAGTGTCCGCCGGTACCCAATCCGGTACCTTCACAATCAAGATGCTCTGGACCAACTTCCGTCCCTTCCTCTCCCTTCTCCTTCTCCTTCTCACCCCTTCCCTCTCCCTCGCCGCCGCCCCTACCTCCCCCCCGGTCAGCTACACCAACACCCTCATCGAGCAGCGCGCCGACCCTCACATCTCCAAGCACACCGATGGGTACTACTACTTCACCGCCACCGTGCCCGCCTACGACAGCATCATCATCCGTCGCTCCCCGACCATCCAAGGCCTCTCCTCCGCGCCCGAAACCACCATCTGGCGCCGCAAGTCTTCCGGCATCGGCTCCAACCAAGTCTGGGCTCCCGAGCTGCACTACATCGACGGAAAATGGTACATCTACGTCGCCCTCGGCGTCGCCAACGAATGGCACATCCGCGCCTTTGTCCTCGAAGGTATCGGCGCCAATCCACAAACAGCAACATGGACTGAAAAGGGACTGGTGAATACCGATTGGGATACTTTCTCCCTAGACGCACATCAGTTCCAAGTGAACGGGACTAGATACCTGGTCTGGGCGCAGCAGGAGCCGTCGAGGACTGATGAGAATAGCAGCTTGCTGCTGGCGAAGTTGATCAACCCCTGGACGATCCAGCGGCCGGCGACAGTTATTTCCCGACCACTGCTGGCGTGGGAACGGATCGGGTATAAAGTCAACGAAGGCCCGGCTACGCTGCAAAAGAATGGCAAGATCTTTTTGACGTATTCGGCGAGCGCGACGGATAGTAATTACTGCATGGGTCTTTTGACGGCGTCGCTGAACGCGGACTTGCTGAACGCAGCAAGTTGGTCCAAGGCCCAGACTCCCATTTTTACGAGTAACGCCAATACCAAGCAATACGGCCCGGGGCATAACAGCTTTACTGTCTCCGAGGACGGACAGTCGGATGTTCTGGTTTTCCATGACCGGGGGTATCCGAATATTACGGGCGATCCGTTGAATGATCCTAATCGACGGACGAGGGTGCAGAAGATTTACTGGAAGGCGGATGGGACGCCGGATTTGGGGATTCCTGTGCCTGATGGCCCTACGCCCGTTCGGTTGCGCTCGTCGGCTTTGTCTTCGGCTTCGGGACATGAGGGATATATCAGGTATTACACCGGTACTTCACCCTCTGGGACAGCTACGCTTGCGGATCAATTGTTCAGAATCGTCACACCCGGCCTTGCAGGAGGAAATACCGTTAGTCTGGAGTCGGCTAGTAGGCCGGGGGTGTATCTGAGGAGATCAGGGACGCAGGTTAGGTTTGATGTTGGTAGCAGCTCGAGTTCGGCTACCTTCAAGAGCGAGGCAAGTTGGGCCAGGAAGGAGGGGTTGGTGGACGGAAAGGGAGTGTCGTTTGAGGCTGTGGGGGTGACGGGGCAGTATTTGACGCTGACGGGGACGAGTGGGGGGTTGCTGGTGGCTGGTGTTGGTGGGGATCAGGGGCAGAGGGGGCAGGCTACTTTTTATCTGGAGTAGGGGAGAGTATGATGAACGGAGGGTAAGGTCTTACTGGCGAGATGAGGGAGATGAAAGAGACGGAAAGGTGCACAACGCAGGGGGAAAAGCGACAAAAAGGGTTAAGATCCGTGATTACCCCTGAGTGTCTGTTTACTTGCCAAGACAGAAGACGTCCGAAGGGAGACACTCAACAGTCAATGGAGACACGATGCAGACAGGGGAAAGGGAAAGGAAGAGCTTCATTGTACAACCTGCAATCCAGCATCATCATTCACCACTCTCTTTACCAGCTTGCTCTCTCATTAAGGTACTCCTCCATTTCACTCCATCACTAGGACAGACAGCTCCTTCAAAAGTGGTTTCCCGCAGCTACAGATGACGCATCAAGCCAAGGAAACACACGGTCGAAACTCCCTCTTGCAAGTTCCAGGATCCAAAGTCCAGTCCAAACTCCAACGCCCTACCCAGTTGCTAGATGTATCCTGTCCACATGGTGCACACCTCCCCTGAGCCCTCACCTGCCCGCCATACCTGCCGTCAAACATCCGGAACACTCCCTGTTTCCCATCTCTCTTTACCCATCTGCCATTAACAATCACCTCCTATAAGCCCCCCCATGTCCAAAGTCCTCATCAAACCTTCCCCCTCCTTGCCCTCCAAGACCATACGCCCCATTCCCACTCGCAGAATACGGCGGCAACCCTCCATTCCCATTCCCATTCCCACCACCTCCATACCCCCCACTAGCAAACCTCCCACTACTATCCTGCGTCCCAGTCCCAGTCCCAGTATAAGAAGTATTGGGACTAGGCAGCGAAGGCGACACCCCTCCTCTAGAGATGACGTCGTCTCCCTCCCGGTCCCCCGGGCCCAAGTCTGACGGAGACCTAGCATGCTCATAGCCGTACCCGGTCCCGGTTCCAGTGGGCGTACCGACGCTTTTAGCAGGCATCTCCTGACTCCCAATCCCTCCCATCAACCCCGTCCCTTTGGTCTTCCCTTCATGACCATGTCCACGTCCCTCACCAGCTTCCGCACCGGGTAACTCCACAGGCGGCGCCAGCGTGACTCCCCTGTATCCATGTCCGTGTCCGCTCGTCGGCGGTGAACTCTGTAGCTCAGTAGCCTGCCCCTGGGTGTTATAAGTCGGCGCCTGTGAAAACGTCGGACTAGAAATAGTTGCGCCACGAGGCCCATCAGCCCAGCTTGATCCAGGTGGTTGTTGCGTCATTGGGCTTGCAGGATTACTTCCTGTGACGGGCGCACCGACGCGGGGTTGTTTATAGTGTTTCTGTTTGCGACGGATACAGAAGAAGCATAGCCCGGCAAGGACAGCGATACCGACTACCGCTGCGCCGACTGCTATCCCTGCTATCGCGCCTGTGCTTAGACCCTTTTTCGGCTGGTTTGGGTTGGGGTCAGTGGTGGCTGATGCGGTCGGAGATGTGACGTTTCGAGTTGGTGTCCTCTCAGCTAATCTTGGTTTGCGCGTCATGAGCGTCGACATATCAGGGGCGTCAAACCCCGTTTTTGGTGCAGTGACTGTTGCTCCCCCCCGTGGGATTCCCGCCCACGACGGTGACGATGTCGGGTGGTAAGGTGTAGGAAGTTAGATTTGGCTGGAAACGCGCCCAGATGGCTTTTTCGGGGTTATCTTTCCCCAAAACCATGTTGTGTTGACCGATGACTGAGTCGGCGTCGCAGGAGGAGGTGTCGTTGAGGGCGCGGCCGCCGATGACGAGCATTTGCGCGTTGTTGATCACGTTACACGAGGACATGGCTTTGGGGAATTCGCCGGTTATGTTGGAGTTGGAGGGGTAGAGGCTGCGGATCCAGGTGAAGGAGGGAATTGATAATACGTAGATGTCGTCGTAGCCGATGGGGTTGGAGCCGAAGGAGGCGCCGCCGTAGATGTAGCTGTTGCTGTCTGTTAGTCACCCACCAGGTAGGGAAAGGGAAGGAAAGGGGGACGTACATATTGTAGGAAGATTGATCCTGCGCCACAGCCGCTCCTCCGCAGAATAACCGCCTATCCTCCGGCGCTCTCCCAGAGGTCTTTTGCGTGTACCACTTGGTGTTCGCCAAATCGTACATGTAGATGGTATCCAGCGGCTGCGGCGACGCAGTCCCGTTTCCGTTGTCCCGAACACCGCCAAAGTAGGCCAACATCCCTCCATCACTAATGGGGAGATATATCATGGTCCCTTCGGCTCTTCGTATGCTATCTGGTCCTGTAAGGTTGCTGAACTCGCGCTTGTCCATGTCGTACTTGATCAGCCGGTCCGATGCCCGTCTAGTGCCTGACCATCCCGGCACAGAGTTCTCGCTGAACCATCCACCGTAGTAGAACGCTTCACCGCGCTCGGAGATGGAGACACCTCCTCCGTGACTCAAGGGGGTAATGGTTCCGCTACTAGATGGTGGACCGAAGGAAGTCCAGTAGTTGTTGAGGATGTCGTACCCGTAGAGGATGAAGTTGCGAGCTGATGACTGAGACTCTCCGCCGTAGGAGTAGAGCCACTTGTTGACTGAGTCCTCCCATAGGATGCCGAAGCTGACGCTGGGGATGGTTGCGTTCTTTGACAGATTGGCGTAGACATTGGGCATTCCTTCCGTCTCATGTTTGAGGTCGCTGTAGAGGAGAAATTGGTCTGTCAGGTGTTAGTGGTCGACCATCAACGGATGCTTCTTCTGGGTAATACGCACTGCTAATGTTGGCTGACGTCTCCGAGTATGGCTTCCAGTTGACGATACCTCCGTCCACATAAAGCTTGTCATCCACCACCGCCGACTGATGTCCGAATCGTCTACAGAAGTCCTTGATAGGGTCGAACTGGGCGAGTGACAGCTCGATCAACCACCCGAATAGGAGAAGCAGAGTCCCGCATGTCGATGATGTTCGAGTGAAGCAGGCCATCTTGTTCATCAACAGCACACGCGACCCTCAAATCCGCTGTTGTATGCGTGAGTAAAAAGAACCAAGGTGAAGAGGACGTCAATCGTGTTTGAGCCGACAGTAGGATATTGATCGCACTCAATGAATGCAGAGTTCAAACCGGCATTTGTTTGCCGTCGTCACAATTACATTGAACATGAAACAAGCGAAGAAAGTGAACGAGGGAAAGAATGGAATTCGGGAAAGAACGATGCAAACACGCAAGAACACGTTAGAATACGTTACCAGGCTCCAGGAACATGGGCCGTAGATGTGGCTGATTCTCGCCTGGGTCACCCAGAGCCTCTCGCTTCCCTCTCCAATCCAGTCCACTGGCGTCGTACAACGTTCGTCAACCGGAAAACCAACATGGAGTTCGGAAACAAGCCCCTAGTGGCGGGCATTCTGGCTCTGTCGTGTCGTGTACGTGAACCGATAGTGAGCATAGCGTGCTGCTGTCAGCTTGCAACCCGTCACACCACCTTGTTCTGACTGTGTCGCTGTTGTTGTTGCTGTCTCCGCTGGGCTCTGCCTCCGCGCTTCTAGCTGCGGTTCCGTCCGTGGCAAGTAAAGATCGTTGACTGGTTCCCCATTCCTTCCTCGTTCATTCGCAGAACCAGTGACGGATCCTCGCCGATAGGATCATACAACCTTTTAGAGTTGCGACAAATAGTCTTGGCTCTCCGTGCGGCGGTGGGGGCTGTATCGTATGCGTGGGCTTGTATGGGCTGTATAGGGTGTATTAAGTCCTGCAGGCTGACACCCGCAGCACCGAATCGTTGACGAGAATGGGTATGACAGGTGTGGTTACACTGGCTCACTGGCTCAGGCTACCAGTCAGCGAGAGGCCAGCACCCGAAGCAGGGTGAGCCGGGGAAAGCGTGGCGTTGCAGCGTGCGTGAGGATCGCCGACGGCTGGCAGCAGAGTGGTTGAATGGCGAACTGAAGAAAATGGGAGTGAGAAGAGGGTGAGACGGGTGAGATAAGGGAATGGAAGGGACCCAGGAAAGAGGATTGTAACGGGAAGTTTGCCAACCGTCGTTTCGGCAGTTTATCCTGGAGGAGTTGGGGTTTTGTGGGTGGCATCACAGACAGTTTGTTTATCAGGAATTCGCCAGATTTCAGCCCTACCAGTCACTGCACGCGAAGGAAGGAAGCCAAGCCGTGTATGAATATGCGATCATGTGTGCATCCATTTGGTTTGGTCAGATGTAGATATGTCGAATGTTCCTTCCCGGAGCAATGCAAGAGCAACCACCGGCCCTTTCAGCGGCAACTGGACGCGTGCAGCAACCCTCTTGGCCAGCAACAAGGGAACTGCCCAATCCTCTAAGCGCACTTGAGTTCTTCAAGTGAATAGAGATCCCACTGCAACTCAATCTCCTGGCTCCTTAAGTTCTTCCATCTCCAAATTGGACCTTCTCTCCCACCCATCTTCCCATGAACTCTTCAAGGCTGTTGAAGGCAAGGCCAACATCAAGAGTGCTCGCCTTGGCCAGCAAGAAGGGCTGCTCCATCCAGTCTCCCGTCCTTCAAACTTTTCCCAGTTCTCAAGCCAAACCCCCTGCGTGACCTCTTCTCTTCTCGGCGAGAATTCTTTCTTGAAAGATAGAAGCAGAATGGACCTTCGAAGCGCCCATCTCAGCCAGGAGCGAGAAAGGCCTCCCATCCTTCAAACACTTTTCATCTCCTCATGATGATGCAACCCCTTCTCCCCCTCAACCACTTCATCCTCGCTCCTTGTTGTCCCGGTCGTCGTGGTAGTCGTGCCTGCCGAAAACTTCCTCAACTTGTTTCTCTCCAACTCCATCACTCCATCACCCTCCTCCACCTCTCGCTTCTTCCTCCCTTTTCTTGCCTTCCTCGCCTGCACCCACATCACCACCCAAAACCCCCCAGCCACAACCACCCCTAACGCCCCCAGTCCAACTCCAACCCAAACCGCCATCCTCAACCCTTCCAACCTCACGCCCACCAAAACTTCATTACTCTCGCTCAGCTTGGGCATCGGACTACTTCTCGTTCTCTCCACACCTGCTTTATCTCCCGCCTTGATAAGCGCAGCCTTATGTACACTCCCCGCCAGTCCCAGCCCACAACTGATAGAGTAATTCACCACTGTCGCAACAAGGCTAGCTGCCATCCCTTGCTTATCCCTCGGCAACGTCTCACTTAGCAATATCGTGGCAGCTGGGAAGGACAGGTTCATGGCGCCTGGCATTAACAGTACCGCCACAAACGTATTTGCCCGGTAAGTTTGATGCAGAGGCGTCAAGACGACCAAGAGGGAGCCGAGGAAGAAGAAGAAACAGGAGATGAGCATTATCAGCGATACCGACACGCCGCGGCGGAGGAGGTATACCGTCAGGAAGGCGAAGAAGATCCCTGTCACCGCAACCGGGGAGGTCTCGAATGAAGTCAAGAGGGCGGAGTGGCCGCGTAAGTGTTCGAGGAAGATGTAAAGGTAGTAAACCCATATGCCGTGGGAGGACCAGCCGGTAAACACGATGACAAGGACAAAAGCTGCGTGCCGCTGAAGGCCGCGGAGGGGGACGATGGGCTGTGAAGCGAAACATAGCTCAACCCAGACGAATGCGGCTAGGGAAAGAATGCCGAGGACGAGGAGAACGGGGACGTAAGGGGTGCTCCAGCCGACGAGGGGAGCTTGGTTGAGGGCGAAGTTTATGAGGATCAGCCCGGTGACGCCGGTTAGGGCGCCTAGGTGGTCGAAGGTAGGGTTTGGGTCGGTTTCGGGCTCAATCTTGCTGCCGTCTCGCTCTGGTGATGCATCCGGGGACCGAGACGCAGACTCAGACGGCTGGGGAATAACGAACCACGAAACCCCCACCAACACAGCGCATGTCATGGCCAAGAACCAGAAGCACCAATGCCATGAGAGTTTCTCAGCGACAAGCGACGCAAGGATAGCACCCACCGCCGCTCCCGTCGGCCCTGCTGCTCCGAAACAAGCGAAGGCGATGTTTCGTTTTAGTCCGATGGGAAACGTTCGTCCGATGATGGCTATAGCGTTGGGGATGACCAATGCTGGACCGATACCCTGGAACGCGCGACAAGTGCTGAACCAGATGAGGTGGGAAGGCCAAAGAAGCCGGAGACGAGGGACCAGAGACTGAACCAGGCCCAACCGACCATGAAGACGAGCTTGTGCCCGTGGATGTCGCCGAGTCTTCCTGTGAGGTTGTCTGTCAGTTGGTGTTCCGGTGGTGAACCTTGATGTAGGGCATGTCTGGCAGGGGGCTTGAAGGGTTGGCTTACCAGCTGGCAGGATAAAAGTCCCGACGGTCATGCTGTAAGCTGCCGAGAACCAGCTGAGGTTGCCATAGTCATGGATGTCAAAATACTTGGCAAGGATGAGCATGGGGGCAACAGTCTGGTTCATGGCTGCCAGGGAGAGAAACTGAGCAAGGCAGAGGACGGCGACAAAGACGACCTCGTGGATTGAATTCATGCCAGTGTGCTTCCCCTGTTGTGGCGGAACCTTGACCGGCGGGCTGGCGGTCTTGTTCTGAGCCACGGAGGCTGGTATTTTGTCTCTGTCAGTTGTTGACATGATGTCTGACTCTGGTGACAAAGCTGTATCAAGTTCAGACGGCCAAAGGATGACCTTGAGGACCAGGGAGACGTTATCTGACTTATACCAGCGCAGCATCAAGGCAGGACCATAGTCCCCGAGCTGCAGAGGCAGGTTTCTGAGCTGCATTTCTGGTCTGCAGAGTTGAAACAGCTAGGCCTTTTGTTCCTCATCGTAAAGAAGCAAAAATGCGCCCCCAAAGTGGGCTTTCGGTCTGTCTTCGGTGGTCCGGTCGCCGGTTGATACCGTGGTGCAGCCGTGCAGGTGTTGATGACCCATGACCGTCGAGTCGAAGGCACTAGTTCCTCGTGTACATGGGAACGGTAAGCTGGAAAGAGCGTGGGGGGGTATGAGGCTATCTCGGCGTTTCTAGAAACGAGGATGGACCATTTCCCAAAGCGTTCCTTGACATGATCATCCCTGTGTCTTGGAATGATCCACGTTACGTTTGCACCCTATGTTTGAACCTAATGACTTTGCCATACGGCCATACGGCGGACGAGCGGGGAGCGGGTTCCTGGACGTCAGTCATGCATGGGAAACACTGACCGGTGCCAAGTCTTCCGGGAGGCGTTGTCTGTGGCGCCGGACATTGACCCTATTGAGACTGATCTTTCGCAGCGCTGAAAGCTCATCACTCATCAGTCGACGTTTTCCCCCACTTCAAAGGGTTGACTTGTTTCGGTTATAGACGCCTTGTTATAGGTATAAGGGGCGGGCCGCAGCATGGGGGTACGTTGGACGAGGAGTTTGAAGCCAGAGCGAAGATTTGATAGGTGCCTCAAGATGCACGAAGAGACCTTCGACGTGGTGAAACTTGAAGCTAACCAGTAAAGTAGGTAATGAACCGTGGAAGCTAGTCTAACCCACCTTATCGTCCAGCTCCACTGCTTCCGCGCCTGTTAGCGTAAACCTTCCTAGAAGAGACTTTTCTTCGAACGATATTCGCATCTCATGCACGAGACTTAAGGCTGCAACGCCGGGAAGATCCGTGGAGTTTGACGATGAAGCTCCCGGTTGGCTTGCTTGTAAAGCTGGGTAACATGGAAGCTGTTAACGAAACGTCTTCGGCTACTTCTCGGGACCGAACTGGCGAGGCTCAACCGATTTTCCTCTCTGTCCGTTGTCGATAGATGTTGAGATTATAGAAGCTTAAAAAATCGAGAACAGCTCGGACGGAGGCCGTCGCAGTGGCATCTGGAAGCGCTGATGTTGCAACCGAATCCAACTCTGCGTGGTGCGGAGTAGAACATGTCGAAGATTTGGAAAGATGTATCCCGTGCTTTACATTTGAGCGTGCCTGTGCACGGTTCGTGAACAGATGGATGTTTCGCCAGCTTTGGGTCACGTAAAGCCGAGATACCAAGGCTCTTTGCGTGGGGCAGAGAGTAACAATCCCTACGTATTCGTAACCACTCTTCCAGGTGTTTGTATTCTCCGCTTCGAAAAGGGCCAGGTTGAACAGGTTGCCATGCGATAACCGTAGTACAAGGTTCAAGCTGATGGTCTGTGATCACCTACTCCTCCGTTGTCCAACTGGAGACATGAGAGATTGGGACACGTAACGTACCTCAAGATCTTTCATATCCGAAGCTCATCAGACGATATGGAACCGCCTTTCCTCATACTTGCCACACTCGATGGCCTCGCCGTCCATGAAACCATGTATATACGAAGGGCACACAAGCTGCATTGGTCGCTGAACGTCATCCTTGCTAGGACGGAGGACATAAGGCACTTCTGCACCCGGAAAAACGCAAACAAGGTCTCCGACTTGGGCACCCGCAACGACGGCACCCATGTGCTTTCCGTCTGTCACTACAAATGGACACGTACTTTTTCGAAGCCGATTAATGACATCTTGCAGGCTCTTCCATTTCTCCTTGTCCTCTTGAAGTTCCTTCATCTTTGGAACAAATTCTCCTGCTCTCAGAGCCTTGCAGACACTTCGGAATAGCTCATACCGCCTCCCTATTTCTTGAGGTGGCGTAGAGATTACTCCTGTTTTCATGCTCATGTCCTTGTTGCCCACTATTGTCCGCCAGAGTGCTTCATAGCGTGGAATCGAGGCCCCGGTTGGCAATAGGTATGGGTCCGAGCAGTGTGCCTCGACCATCTCCCACATTTCGTGGTGGAAGTCCGATTCCGGTCGTAACCTTTCGCCAAGGTAGTGTATTGACTCCTCAATAGCAAGATTACACCAATCCGCCCTGGATCGAGTGTCACGTAGCTTGAACCTTCTCCAGTGGGTTTGTTGGACATGGAGCGCGGACATGACAGCTATGCGTCCAATAATGACACCTTTCACACTTAGACAGTTGGGAACTGGAACATGGAGTTCGTTTTCGATCGCAATAGTTCCTTCGGCCCACATCCCTCCTGAGCGGTATGGCCACAACAAGTGGCCAAGGCTGGGAAACAGACCGGAAGATGAGAAATCTGGGACCCACGAAGGCAGGCCGGAGATTGTTGAGCCGTAAAGTTCGCGGAACGCTAGGCCCGCAATATGCCAAAGTGAAAATGTACCTTGCCGGAGACTGTGGGTCATTACCTTCTGGTATACCTGTTCAGCCGCCAGTTCGTGGTTTGGTTGCAGGTCAGGGTGGCCAACATCGCTGCTCAGGGCGAGAAGGGCAAAAACCTTGTCTTGCGGCAGCGAAGCCTGGGAATAACCTGTATGGAGGAGAATGGTGGAAAGAGGACGCTGCATTCTCCCGGATTCTAGATTGGAGTGAAGTATCGATATGCAAAGTATGCATTCAAGTGCCGAACGCGCCGTAGCCCTTCGTGCCTCGTCCAACCCCTCCAGGAGCATGTCTGACATATATTCGTGCCCCTTCAATATATGGACCGTGGAATTGACCAAGTTCCAGTTGGAATAATGTCCACCATAGAGTATGAACACCTGCTTTCCACAAATGATTTCCTGGATGACCCATGCCCTAGACCAGTAGTCGTTTGTGATCATGCGAAGGAAGGCATCACAGGCTGGTCGATCTCTCAGGGGCGTTAGACCTGGAAGGAGGGTCTCGAATACCGGTAGGATATGCGTAGACCCGAAATAGGCCTCTTCGTAAAGTGAGAAACGGGCGAGGAATTCATGAGCCCGTTTTGCGTCAGGGGCATCACCGAGATATATGACGACCTTGGATGCGCCAGCGTATATGTCCCGCATCAACGGTATCTGCTTGTATTTCTCCGCTTTGTCTTGCTGATTGATGCAAAGAAAGTCGATCCAAAGATAGCGAGTTTTCCCCGGCTTTTTTGGATGTAGACAGCAGTCCCTCAAGATATCGTAGGTGCTCGATGTAACTCGAAGGGTGGCATTGCCAATGGTGACGAAGTGGACCAGCTCTGGACTGCCCCATCGGTACGAGACGGCTTGGTAGCTAGGCGCATTTGCAAGTTGGAAAGGAACAAGATCGTAGCGGATGCTGCCATCGGCATTTTTGAAGAGTTGGATGAGTCGGATCATTCGCTCGTGCACGGAGAGGGGAGAACTGTCATAGTCATATTCCTTTCGCTTTTCAATTCGCGAGCGTCGAGGAGTTGCCCTGGATTTGGATTTGCCCATGGCGATTGTTGGCTTGTAGTGGGAATCAAGCTATGAGCGGGATCGGATGGGTCAATCACGCGATGGATGACTGGTCGACGGCGAATTGAGTTTGGAAATATCGAGAAAGTGGAATCGCCGGCGAGACGCGCCCACGTTAGGTGTCCAGTCCAGTAATTGAGTAATTTGAAAGACGAGAGATCAATGGAACTGAAATGCAAAAAGGACAAGATTGGGTGGACGCACAACTGAACAACCTCCATGCGGGTCGATACGAAACGATAGCATTAGTGCTAAGCCACCGTGTTACTCATGTACACATTACCACGCCAAAGGTACGTCTCCGCCTAACATCCCGCGAATTACCCCTCTCACCAACACCCCTCTTTCTCCGTCACTCCTATTTGCAGGCACCACTCGGCACTAGGCTGCCCACCAGTGTTTCTGTAGGAATGAACCTCAAGGCAGATCGTGGTCGGCTTTCTTTTTTCTTCTTTCCATTTAGATTTCTTCAACCTCCAATCAAGCAAATCACCATCATTGCCTCACTTCCATTCTTATGTCACCCACCTAGTCTGGAAGCCCTACTCCCCCTTCCACTTCCCCTCCCAACCCGGAAAAAACGGACTCTCGCTCAATGTCCCAACCTCCCAATCCTTCGGCACCCACCCCTTCTGTCTCTGCTCCTCGGCCCACTCCTCCAATGCTCCCATCGCCACCTGCCGCACATGTTCCTCGCACTTATACTCAATCAAATTCACCTTTCCCTCCTTCAACACCTTCCCCAACAACTGTGGCACATATTTCTCATTCCTCAACTCCTCCAATTCCCAGAAGCAAGCCTTGAAATTGAACACCACGCTTCCACTAACCGGTAACCTTCTCAGTGTTTGTGCGTCGCAGCGCAACTTTATGTCTTTCACCGTAAGCTGGTCTTCCCGACCCTTAAACGCTGACCGCGTCCAGTTCCCTGAGTTATCGGGGGAGGTGTGAAAAGCTTCCCAATCTTCTAGACCCCATGAGCAGCGGCTTACTGGGCTCTCAGTGGGTAACTTACTAAACCAGCGATCCATGGAAAAGGCCATCTTGGACTCGTAGTCCGGAACATGCGTGTGGATTGACTTGAGGGAAGCATCGCGGTGTTGAGCTGCGTACCAACCGACTGATGAACAAACGATTGCTGCGCGCAGGTAGTAAAGGCCGTCGGACTCGTTGCGCATCATGACGGCGTAGTCTTCGGGGACGTTGTCAAAGAGGACTTGCAGGGGGTCGGTTTGAAGTAAATTGGTGGTGGTGTTAAGGAGGCGGTTGTTGAATAAGGTCTTGTCGACTGAAAGGGAAAAGTGCATCGGATACCGCTTGCATAGAAACGTCAGAACCATCTCCATTAATTCCCGACAGGCGTGTTCAGCGCAGGGGTTTTGGAAGAAAATCCGGGAACCATGTTGGGCGAGCAAGGAGCGGCGGGTGGCCATGACAGTGTGGTATGAGGATGTGAGTTCGACCCAATAGTCTGGGTCATATTTCATAAGGGCTTGAAGGCTCATCCGTCAGTATGATGTCGATGACGATGGGGGTTGATACAGAGACAAGGGAAGACTAACCCATATGCTGATGATACCCCCAACGAAAAGGTCGATAAGGTCGAAACTTCGCCTTGGTAATATCCCAGTTTTCCGGAACAGGGTTCGGATCACGGACACCGCTTAGAGCAGCATAGTCGGGAAAACGGCCTAGGTTCTTGATGTCCTGGGTTGAGAAACCGGTTGGTGTGTAGAGATCGCCCTTGCTAAAGTCGGGTGTCGTAACCGTTGGCAAGGCTTGGGACTTGAGGGTCTCTGGTGCGATAGCCTGTACGTCCGTGTTGTCGAACCCGGGAAGCGTAGCGAGGACATGTCGTCTTGAAGGAGGGAATTGTAACAGATACGGCAGATCTAGCTTGGCTTTTGGTTGTTTCTCTTTGTTGACGTTGCCAATTGTGATGCTCGGTGCTCGTTCTCTTCCTTTCCATTGGACTGTGAGGAAGCGTTGGAGTGTAAAGAGGATGAGAGAGAATATGGCGCCTGCTAGTGAGATATAGGCTGTTGAGACGCCCGATACTTTGCTGGACCACATGGTGTCTGATTTCGACAGTTGCAAAGACATGTGTACTGTTTGTGACTACCTTAGTGTTGTCGAGTTATCGTTGAACCGCGTATTATATATTCATCATGTCCTGGTGAAGTGACGTTCACCCCGCAAACCGCCAAGCCTGGTGTATCTCTACAACCACCCATCCAGTCCATCAAGATCCGAGTGCTCAATGTTCAGCTGCGGCAAAGACAGCATGCGCAGTCCCAGAACCTATTACAGATTGACCTGTTCATGGCTAACTGTTATCAGTCTTGTTGTGCGACCACTCTAGAGTCTAGACCATGATTGGGGAACTGATCCCGAATTCTCTGAGGTGCGTGTAAGTGATAAGATGTGGACACTGATAAGATAGCTCTCGAGGACCGTGGGTTAAATGAGGGGTTGATATTGCTGCATGGTCGCGGAGATAAGAGGACTTCTTCATCGGGAAACGAAACCAGATGCCCTGCATGTTCAATCTTCGACTTTTAAAACGTTCGTAACGTAAACAAGTTAGAACAGTTGAAGTGTCACCAGAAATCTGACCTCGATTGATGAAGTGACGTTGAAAATGCCAAGACGGTAATGGAAAGATAGAAGCTTGAATGGCTTCGGCCAGACGCAAACCATTGAATTATAAGCTCCAGTTCCAGAATCCCTTCCAACAATCAGCTACGGCAGGTGTCCACACCTGCGAATCTTCCGTAGTATAGTGGTCAGTATGTGAGCTTGTCAAGCTTGAACATCAGTTCGATTCGCTCGAGGACCCGGGTTCAACGGCGGGAGAGACCAATCTTTTGCCGTTTTTTTGCATCTGTGCCTGCCTGGCTTTCTGTCGCTTGCACTTGCTCAATTCTAAATTTCGTCTTCTGTTTTGTTTTGTGTCTGGTTTTGTGTTCCTTCATCGCTTCTTTTGTTTCTTGCACCCTCCTTTTTCCCAGTCGAACCGTCATCCGTTCCACCCTCCATTTCAGTGCATTTCTCAACCTATGACCATATTGTGTCAATTACGATTGCAGATTACCACTACAGCAAAATATCAAAATGCGCCAAACTCCTTCCCCTCCTAAATACCCAGATTCCCATTCCAGATTTCCAATTCATCCCATTGTCAACCCAACCCCCTAATTCAACGGCAAAATCCGCAACCCATTCGGCAACACCATATCGTCCGGCCCCTTATCATTAACAAACGCCAGGCTGATCTCCTGCAAATCCGAATCATCCACCATGAACGTGCCCCTGCTCTCCTCCCTCGAGAAATGCGACGCCGCAGATTCATCCGCCTTCTCGACCGCCTTACAGATCAAATCCGCCACCTCCTTGCGCATCCTACAGCTCGTAAACAGCGAAGAACCCTCAATCTCTTCTAGCAAGTCCCGCTTCTCGGTGCCGAGCTCGATCTCGTCAATTACGTGCTGCACTTGCCTGGATGTGATGGTTGCCGGCGGGAGGATGCCACGACTATTGTCGCGGTGAGGCCATTGGATGTCTGCTAACTTGTGTAAGAACAAAATGACGGCGGCCATGGCTTGGGCGAGCATCACTGCGCGCTCGTGCGGGGATAGGCCGAGGAAGATGGTGTGGCCTGGGTCGGTGGAGGAGTGGGAGAGGGACTCGTCAACGAGGACGCGCTGGTGCGGACCAAAGGTGGCTTCGAGGATGCGGATTAGGAGGGAAGGGTTGTGGTTGAGGTCGAGAACACAGGAGACGTCGCGCAGGTTGAAGAGTTGCACGGCTTTGGCGAAGAAATTGGGCATGATGTCGCGGACGTCGACGCCGTGGAGCTTACGCGCGTGCGAGGTGTCAACTTCGAAGTAGGTCGATGCTAGGTTTGCTGCGACTGTTTTCGTGGTCTGTTAGCACCACTTTTTCTTTGCGTGAAAGGGGAAGGAAGACTTACACTCGCTCGAAACACCAGCCAAACACCTCTGCGCAGCCGCAAACACCCTCCTCACCTCCTTTGACTCCCTCAGTCCACCCAACGTCCTCTTCACAAGCTCTCCATACCCACCCTCTTCCTCCCCCGACAGTTCCTCACCCCAAGCCGGCTCCCCTCCCCAATCCTGTTCACTCTCCCCCCCACCGCCAACCAACACCCTAACCACCTCCCTCTGCCTCCTCCCCTCCCCTTCCCTCTCACCACCACCCACATATAGCATATCCTTCCGATCACTCCCTCCATACCCAAACCCACTATCCCTCCTCTCCTTAAGTCCGCCATCCACCCCCTTTAACAAACCATCCCACTTCCGTCCAATAGTATCCTCAAACTTCTTCGTCACCAGATCCCTTAGTATATGCGCCACCGCAACTTTACTCATCCCCTTCTCCTGCGCAGACTTTATCCAGTCCATCTGGACCTGCGACACGAACTCGTCGTATTTGGTGAAAAGCAGCAGGACGGGGACATGGTGCGGGACGATTTGCGACAGGTGATGGAAGAAATAGGATTCTACCGGAGAAATGGGGCGAGAGGTATCGGCGGAGGAAACGCAGTACCATATCGCGTGGAGACGGTTGTCGGAGGTTATCACGTCGGGGGCGACGGATCCGATTTGTGACAAGGAAGTGCGGGAGGCGATGAAGGACGAGACGGTGCGGAGGGCTGTGGATGCTAGGGTGTAGGAGGGGTCTGATGAGGATTCTGACGAGGACTCAAAAGAAGAGGATGGGAAGGAGGTGCTGCTGGTGGGAGAGAAAAAGTTGGGGGAGGTGAATATTTCTAGGTGCTCGTTTTGGCCTTCGAGGTCCAGCGGGGTGTTGATGTCGTGCGTGGGGGAGAAGGCGTCGGCTACGAGTTTCTGTTTGAGGAGGAGGAGGAGTCAGCGTTGCTCAGTTGCTTTGGAAATGAGGGGAGTTGGTGATGGTTTGGTGGTTCTGATGCCCGGGGCTTGGCACGGTGCCTGCGATGCAATGGGAGGAGCACAAGACAAACCTTCTCAAGATCAACACCAAACACCTTGGAAAACAGTTCCTGCTTGGTCGATTCCGGATTTCCCATAACCAACACCCGAAACTTGGGGCATGGTGCAAGATATTGCGAAGACGGCGTCAATTTGACGATGGGGTTGTTGCTTGTTTCGTCGTCCATTTTGTCTGTGTGTTCAATCGGTGTCGTTGCAGTCGGTCGGTATGACAGTCTTCGTGGGTCTGTCGTGCTTGGTTACTCGATTGTACACAAAAGAAAGGGGTCATGTCCCATCTTTATTTCTTTTGATAGAATGCAACACTTCCAGAAGCTCACATTTGTGTGCGCGACATAAGGTGATGTTGAGCTTGGGCATCTCAGTTCGGTGCGGTGGTCTGATGACGACACGCCATTGTCATGGTCACACCACGATTAGAGCATCCCGTCTGGCCATTGCCAGCCATTGGGAGCCATATCTATCGCTTGATAGGCTTAAGTCGTCGCACATTTTTGAGAGGTATGGTCTGGTCTTTAATCGAGCAATCCTCTCGGCCAAGCGATTTCGCACATTGTTCAGCTCGCGCATCGCCAATGTTCGCGACCGTCATGGACCGAGATGCATGCAGTGGTGTTGCGAACTTGCGCAGGTTTGGCAGCCAAGAAGTGGAAAAAGTGCACTGCACTGCAGCACCAATGCAGCTCTCTGTCGCTACTGTCGCAGGTGGAGACAGGGGTCTTTGTCACTGTTGATAGGGCTGATTCCGATTGTTGTTTGATATTCGTAAACTTCATGATGGTATTGACCTCCGTTTACCATTCCAATGTCCTGATATTCCCGTTGAATGACAGACAAAAAAATAATAACTGCAAGTTTTTTTTTTTTTCATCACCCACCATTAAAGACCGGTGGCAGCCCTGTTGTACATGGGTGACCTGCTTCAATGTACCGATGACGAACGAAGTTGTATGAACCCTTCTAACTCAGCTGCACCAACCTAAATTCCGGACAAGTCAGAAAAAGGGGAACATCTCTCGAAATTGTCGACCAACACTTTACTGAGGACAGTGGCCGAGACAACAATCAGGAGAGGCCTGCATTCTTGAGCACTGATTGATTGTCGCACAACATTGCCAATGGCTGCCAATGGCTGCCAATGGCGGCCTCGAGTCCTTTTTGGTCTCGCCTATCGGCTCCTGGAAATAGGAAGCGTTGTGTTGGGTTCTGATTGATGCATTCCCGGCGACGGCGGGGTCCAACATCGGTTGGTTGGTCGTTTTCCATTCCATTTGTCAAAGCCTGGACCTGCATCAGACAACACTGCAGTGACTGCATCGCAGCGCATATTTCACCGCAGTGGACTGCAGCGTCAGCCATCAGGGGCAACACCACAGCGGTGGCAGAAAGCAACAACAAGGAACAACCAACCGGGAAAAACAACAACAGCAACACCACCACCGAAAACAACCAACCGTCCCATCCAACAGTCCCATCCAACAGTCCCATCCAACAGTCCCATCCAACAGTCCCATCCAACAAACCTCCTGTCATCGGTTCCATCACAAAATGGAGGCACCAATGCTTTCTGAAGCACTTACAAAGCCAAAGGCTGCAGTACAGCTCGACACCGCGGAAGACTTTGAGTAAGCTAGGCCGGCCTACATGGAAGCCTGTCGTTCATTACACGATGTATTGCAGCGAATTTTTGTAAAGGAGGATCGCAGGAAACTTGAAGCTATTGTAGGTGGATTTGCTTTTGAATTTTGGCTTGAAGCTTTGACGCACTGATACCAACCATGTGAATAGCATCAAACATTCCTTTCAAGAACTGACGAACTTGACGATATCCTCGGCAACGGAACTTCTTGAAAATAATTGACACCGGCGACGACCGACCCAATAAAACGGGAGCCAAGACAACGGACTTTATAATAAAGGAGGTTCTTGGGTGGAAGCTAGAACATAGAACTCTCGACCGGCTTTTTACATCCGAAGGCATCTCGAAGCTGCGAACACAGGGATACGACCGGTATCTGATGCTCAGCAATATCCACAGCAGCGCTATTTTTGTAGTGCTGGGAAATGGAGGTTTGCGGACTTTGCAGGGTTTCCCGAGTTTCTTTCTCTGGGTTTTCTAGGTTCGGTTCTCCCGAGGATTGAACGAGGGGGCCTTCTGGCCCTGTGACCACTGGATCTTGGGAACTGGATTGGACTCGGTTCGGTTCGGTTCATGTTCGTCTGGAGTTCGATTTAACGATTTCTCCCGGTGAACCTGGCAACTGGTGAAGGATCTTGAATACGAACAAAACAGAAACCTCTTCATTTCGCCTCGAGTCTTTGAAAGTGTCTTGTTGTTTCTTGTCCCCTTGTGCCCTGGACTCCTTGTCGGTCTGGTTCGGGTGTAGCCGCTGTCTCAACTGCTGGTGCCTTTCCTTGGTGGCCTTCCACTCACTTGTCAGCATCATCAATATTGACCACGAGATCGAAACCCAACAAAGGGGCATCTCACGGCATCAATGAATAATGAATCCCTTCACAGTCTGGACTTTCCAGACTCAAGATCCCAAGATTCAAGACAAGCCCGACAAGCTCGTGTTTTCGATTAGACGACAACAAGCGAGAGGACGATCGGTGCATCAGGAGGCCCCGGTGGATGGGGTGCAAATGGGGTGCCAAGACGGCGTGGCAGTGTCAGATTCACCACGGAGCTCCAGACACAAACCCAATCAGATGAGTTCATTGCCCCCTGAGTGCACAGACCACGTCGTGTTTTCTTTTGTCATTCTCGTCATTGTTCAGTTGATGCCATTCATGGCACGGAGAGTGACACCTCGCCGATGATAGAAATCAACGAAACTCTAACCGTGATCATGAACGGCCAGCAAAGTTCCAGGTAATTCGTCACAGACAAGTAGTGATGATGGGAAAACGAGCAAAACTTAAGAAGATCCCCTGAAAACTTCCCCTTTCCAGCGATGAAATCGAACAACGACAGAAAAACAACAACAGGGCCCCTTGCGTACTGGCAATTTCGGCCCATAGGTGGCTGACCCACAGCACAGTTCCCCACAGTACGTAAATCGTTCCATTCTTCCAATCGAATTGGCCTCTGGGACTTGTTCCGTCACCATTCCAGTTGCAGTTGCTGGTTTCCATGTTCCAGTGTTCTCGCAGGCGCAGCACAGTGTGTGGACGGCCCGAGACAAGGGGTCCAGTTTCCATTCCGTCCTGTTCCTGCGTTTTTGCCTGCAGCCATCTTCAGCTGAAGTGTGTGTGTGTGTGACCTTGGCTTGCCTTGCCGTACCTTGCCGTACCGTACTGGGTCCTTGTCTTGGTTCGTTCTTCCACTTCTTCTTTTTCATCTCTTCCCCTTCCCGCTTTTTCTTTTCCATCCCATCTTTTTTCCTCTTCCACTTCGTCATCTTCTATCCCATCCCATCTCCTATCCAGCAACCAAACTAGTCCTCAATTTACGTAGGACAGACATTCGTTATAGTCGCCTGGATATAACAACAACCGGCCACACTCTCTTTCCGGAATCAACAACAACAGTCCCTCGAGCACATTCGATTATCAAAAACATAATGCGTGCCTCCGAATTCCTCGCCGGCGCCGCCGCCCTTCTCGCTTCCGGCGTATCCGCCGAAGCCTACCTCGGCTTCAACTCCGGCAACACCCTCGCCGACCGTTCCGCCAAGTTCAAGAAGGACTGGGTACAGGAATTCACCACTGCTCAGAACCTCAAGAACGCCCCCGGCACCTTCAACGCCGTGCGTCTGTACACCAACATCCAAGCCTACTCGCAGACCTCTGAGCCGATCGAGGCGTTCGAGGCGGCCATCGAGACCGACACCAAGATCCTTTTGGGCGTCTGGGCTTCCGGCACCAACACCATCGAGCCTGAGATCAAGGCTCTGCAGAACGCCATCAAGAAGCACGGCAAGAAGCTGACGGACCTGATTATCGGCGCCTCCATCGGTTCCGAGGATCTGTACCGCGTTTCCGTGACGGGCATCAAGAACAAGTCCGGTGTTGGCGCCGGTCCCAACGAGCTCGTCAAGTTCATCGGCGACTGGAAGAAGGCGTTCCAGGGCACTGCCCTGGCCAATGTCCCCATCGGCCACGTCGACACGTGGGACGTCTGGGTGAACGGCACCAACAAGCCCGTCATCGACGCGGTCGACTGGGTCGGTGTTGACGAGTACCCGTACTACGAGGACGGCAAGGGCAACAACATTGAGAACAGCGGCTATCTCTTCGACCGCGCCTTTGACGCCGTCGAGGGCGCCGTCGGCGGCAAGCCCGTCTGGGTCACCGAGACCGGCTGGCCCTACATCGGCCAGACCTGGGACAAGGCCGAAGCCACGGCCAAGAACTCGCAGTTCTTCTGGCAGGAGGTCGGTTGCCGCAAGCTGTTTGGCAAGGTCCCTACTTTCTGGTATACCCTCCGTGACTCGAACCCGGACAACGAGATGAAGTTCGCTATCACCGAGAACCTCTCGACCACTCCCCGCTTCGACCTCACCTGCCCTGCTACCTTCAAGACTACCCCCAAGGCTTCTGGATCTGCTACCTCTACTGCTTCCGGCACTGGTGTCTCTGCTCCTTCTAGCACTGAGTCTGGATCTGCTGGCTCTGGCTCTGGCTCCGATGCTGAGGAGTCTGGCTCTGCTGGCTCTGGCTCTAGCACTGGCTCCGAGTCCGGCACCGCTACTGTTCCCGCTGAGAGCGGTGTCGCTACCGGCGGTGCTACCTCCGTCAAGGGTGTTTCCGCCGCTGCTGTGGCTGGCATGACCCTTCTCATTGGTGTCTTTGCCATGCTTTAAGGGGTAACATGTAGTGACAAGACAACGATATAGATGAATGTAAGGTGTAGTCGGGATTGCATATAACTGGGCTAGGCCATGTTAGGTAGACAAATAGAAGGCGATTGCTTGGCTATCACATCATGCCTTGGTCTTGTATCGTGGTGTTTGCCTGTGATCTTGGCTTCTTGGATATGCGCTTGTATCTGTTGTAGCTTGTTGTCGCCCGTAGGCATCAGTTAGTTGTAGCTAGCAATTAATGCATTCAATCATCAACAACGAAGATCCCTTGCGTTTATGATCCTTTTCATTTTCCATCAATGATTGAATGACAACAAACGTGATGTACGAACCTCACCGTTGGTTCCGTTCCGTCGTGCCCGTGGCGCCAAGCTGGTTGCCAACGAACGAACGGGCCCGATGTTGCCGCTCAGCCGCTCAACCCGCCCACAGCCAGCAGCCCAGCACCCAGCTGAGCCAACGGCCTGTCAGCGCCAACACCAACGCCAGTCAGTGACAGTCCGATCACATCGTCAGCTGCTTTCATCAGTGACTCGCCAGTGCTTGTCTGCCCACAATGCCAACGGGTTCACAATGATGTTGCCAAACCGTTGATCATCTCGTCAAAACCCAATAACGAACGCATAGTGGAGAATTTTTGTGCAACAGTCGTACGTTTGCTATTTAACCGGCTGGATTTGCTGGGAATGGTATCCCGGGGTCGCGATCAAAATGCAGGCAGGTGCACCGCAGTGAGCAGGGTGCGCTGAAACTTCAATGCGTTTGCTCGCTTGGACCGCTGCACATTTCGTCGGGGATGTTAGGGGCACTCGCCGACACTAATGCTTTAAGCAGTGGTATGCTCGGCAAAATGTTAGTGCTCTCGTCAGATGTGATCCCGTCCGCGCGCCGATGCACCGCAATCAGTCGCTATCAAATGTCAACTGTCGCAACTCCGTCATTCAGCGTATCACCCGGGCCGCGTTACGTCATTGACATACATCATAGCTGTAGGGTCCTCTTCCATCCCCCGGACCCTGATGAACAATTGATCAACAAAGTTTACATCAACATTACTTTTGGTCTTTTGTTCTCGTCGGTTGCAAAGTCTGTCTGCCAGATAAATATTAGCAATCGGGATCCTGAGACGTTTTTGTTAGCTTCTTCCGAACATTATCCCGAACCATCCATCTTTCTTACCTATCCCAAGAACAGAACAGGTATCGCATACATCCACCGTTGCGATCCACATCCAACAATATCAGAACTTTCCTATTTCAGACATACCAGCACGAAGCACACTTACCATACCAAGCCAAGAAGCCAAAAGCCCAAACCAGACATCCATCAAAATGTCAGCCCAACAACCAACCGACCGCCCTCAACCTCCCAAGAGCGAAGGCTACCGACAAGGCCAAAACCCATCCTCCAAGCCCACCACCCCTCGATACTCCCCTCCCAACTCCCAGAATGGATCCCCCCTAAACTCCGCCCCCGGCACTCCCGGTTCTGTCTCCAGCCTCTCAGGGTACCCCGTACCCCCAGGCGGCCCGCAACGCATGTACTCCGAGAACGCCGTCTCTGACACCCCCCTGACCTCCGACCCCTACGGCACTCCCGCCGGCTCCGGAGGAGCCCAAGATTACATGTCCTACCGGCGGCCGACCAACGCTCAATCACAACTCCCGACTGCCGAACTAAGGAATAACCTCAACGCTGCGCGCGCCGTCGGCGGCGCCAGTGTCGCGATGGGGGCCAGCGGTGCCGGAGCGTGGGGATCCTCGCGTGGTATCATTGGCGCGTCAGGGCCCGCCAACCACAGAGAGGCGAGAGAGACGCAGTATGTGTCGAGGAATAACAGCACCACAGGATTGAATGGCATGGGAGGCCAGACGTATAACGGACGGGGTCACCCATTGAGGGAGAATATGCAGAGTGAAGCCAGGACAGAGGGAGAACAGATGGCTACGTATGGAGAGGGGGAGGTGGCTGATGCTGTTGAGGGGCAGGCGAGGAAGAGGAACGAAGGGAGGAACAGGCGCGAGTCGACAGCGCAGGGTGGGAGGCCGAACTTGAGTCTGGCGCAGGTGGGCGAGGGAGAGATTGATCACCATGGGAGGGAAAGGATTGGGAGTGCGAGTCATAGAGAGGTTAGTGGTGAGAGGCATGGACGTGTGAGGGGAGAGGTTAGCTTGGAGCCTTCGGAGGCTGATTTGGAGAGGTAAGTCCTTCCTGGTTGATTAGTGAATTGGTTGATGATGACAAGTGCTAACGGAAGTGGTGATACAGGAAGAAGTTGCAGCAGTCTTGGAAAAGGGAGGAGATCAAGAAGGCTAGAAAGGCTGGGAAGGATGTCGACGGGACGAGTGGGCTGGGTGGAAGGGAACCTAGGCCCGAGGTGTAGATGATGTGCAGTAGAGAGACGATTGCAGCATTGTACGATATTGGATGACGGTTAGAAGGATGACTTAAGGTTCGTTTTCAGTTCTGGGCAGGTGCTTTTTGGGAAGTAGACTTAGAGATACACAAGTCCACGGCAGTGGCGCAAGGAATGACCATAGACGATTCTTGCTTTCGCTTCGGATGTCGTCGCTTGACTCGATCCATACCGCCTGCCTGGCATAGCGTTGACCGCCCTCAAGCAGGATGCGAGGGTTCGAATAGTGAAAGGGTTTTTGGTTCGTTCGTGAAACCATCCATACCGTCTCAATGACGGGGTATCGTCGATAGCCAGTCAGGCAAGCTGTATACGCCATACGGCATGTGCCGAAGACTGATGAACTTGGGCGAAAGAGCCGGGGCGCGTAGAAGGAAGATGGCGGGAAGAGCCATGATGATACACATGGCTGATATCTTCCACAAGCCACCCTCAAGCGCTGTAGGGAAGATGGAGTTCCATACGGAAAGTGAACTGCTTCATAGATGGCGTTCAACGCGCGTATTCAAACACGGACAGGAAGTTGCAGCCTCCTCTCTCGGTCCTCAGGAGCTGCTCCTTGGGGCTTTGAACAGCATACGCAACTTTCGCACAACCGACACAGTTGACCAGCTGGAGTTTGCCGCGCATAGTGCCATGCGTCAACCAGCCTTTGTCATTGTCGATCTCTTGTTATGGGATGTCTGGACGCAGACACTGTCAAGTGGCGAAGTCCTTCCGTTCAATACAGGATGCTGATGGCGGCAACATCCAGAAATTCGACTCCCGGTTGCTGAGAGTATCGTAGTACAATGCACTCCGGTACAGGAGACTTAGGTAGCGATAACGAGGTCGGCTGACACTACCAAGAAGGTTGTCTCGTCGTCGAGCGCCTGCCTGGGCTACAGGCGTGTCCTGATGTTTTGTGGTTCGCAGAATTGTTCCTGGGACAGTAGAGCAAGGACGTCTTCAAACAACTCCGTTGAAAGGCGTATTGGCTCTTGTATATCCGTAGGCTTCTATGTGGTCCAAGTCAGATCGATGTTCCCGATTTTGAGCGGATCAGTGAGTGGACCTTACCTTGAGCAATACCGCGTACATAGCAATAGAGCAAGCCACGTTCACAAGCACATGGGTCTCAAGAAGAGAGGTAGACAGCCCCTGCACCTTCCGCGCAATGGACTGTGTCCTCATCCAAAGCAGTTGAAGGAAGACTAGGCACTTCTGGAACGGACTCGCTTTACTCTTGTCGGCCAGCTCGGAGTCAGGAATCACGAGCAGATCCATGTATCTCAGCTCGGCCAGCAAGCAATTACCGTCTGGTGACCAGGCGAGATGCTTAGGTACGGCCGGAGTTGTTCCAGAGAAACGGATGTCCTCGGTCAAGACTTGGAAGTGTGACGAACCGTTACAA